GCCTGGAGGGGCCGGCCGCGCTTCCTCTCCCTCGGCCTCCCTTCAGCCTCTGCTGGCAGCGCGGAGCCACCGGCCTGCGGTGGGACAGACGCCCCTCGGCTGGCCGAGCCCTTGGCGGGTGGAAGGAGCGCGGCGGCCGGTGTCCCAGCGGGTTCGTTTCGCCCCGTGGGCCCAGCTTTCAGGGGAGGGTGCGCGTTGGTTACCTTCGAGTTTGTGGTGGGTTTCTGATCAGCGCTTGCGAGGTCGGGAGTGATCACTTCGGAAAGTAATCTGTGACCTTTGGGTTGGAACATCAGGAGTACTTTAGTGAATCAAAACTGTAGGGAGATTGCAGGAGACACGTGGGCCTGAACTGCAATAAATGCTTTTTTAAAAATAAGCTTGAAACCTTAGCTTGTCTTCTTCCCCCATCATCCCCCATTTTCTTTTGTACCACGCATGTTTCTTAGCATTGTTTTAACAGCATATCGGCACGCTATTACTCATTTTGCTTTGTAAGAAGTAAATAACTTCTGTCGTGGTGAGATAAATATCACTTACAACAGTGTGTTTGAATTGTTTTAATTTCCTAGCCTGTGCAAATTACAGCTGTGTTCTTAATGCTTGTTGATAGCAGGAAACAGGAGAACCCATGACCTATAAAAGTGCAGATGCTCCTGGAAATTTAGTGTCACATCGAGGATAATGATTTACAGGAGGAAAAAGCTGTTAAGTGGGAATAAGGAAACTAGAAATAGGTCTTGACTATTTGGGGTAACAGGGGCTGTGCCCATGCATCTTTGTTGTGCCGCATGCGCTTGCAACCTCAGCTTATGGAGGTTCATCCTCTGCTGTGCTCGTCTTGTGGTAAGCTCTGTATTTGCAGACAAACTGATAACATATCTTTTAGAAACATCAAGGAATTCTTTCCATTTATTAGATGCCTAAAACTTGATGGCAAAGTGTGGACCGTCTCTTGTGTTGGATTAAGAAGCAGGAAGAGCTGATGACAGGTGCCTGCATGGGAAATTGTACCTGGATATTGTAATGCCAAATGGCATGCTGGTCCTCCCCAAAACACTCCACTTATTTCTCGGGCCTCAGTTGTTACTGTTGGAGGTGGGAATACCAAAGGCCATACTTAATTTTCCCTTCTTAATTCCTGTGCTTTGGAATGGGGCTGTAGCCTCTGGATCAGTGTTTCAGGCAATGCCGTGGTGGGCTGTCTGCCTTTTGCACTTCTTTTCATGGTTCCCTTTCTGATGCAGTTCTTCATGACTTTCTTTTTCCTGGTTTGGCTGATGGGATCTCGAATGTTTATTTCACTGCTGAGGCCAGTGCTCCTGTTTGAACAGATTAGGAATTGAGGTTGGCTCCCACAATAATAGTGCACTTAAAGAAGGACTTATTTATTTATTTTTGTTCACATTGATAGTTAACTGTTTCAAATGTTACAATTGTATTACAAACTAAGAACATACAATTGTGATCTAAATGTTAACAGAAAGGAAGGCAAACGTTGTACTCTGCGGTATGGTTTCTATCAATGCAGTTTAAATAATTGCCATCAGCTTCTTGAAGTTTCGGATTTTTTTCAGATAAGCTAAAATCATCTAAGTTTTAAACACTAGTTAAACTGTTGGGGTTTTTGTTTTATTTCTGTGTATACATCTTGGAAGTAGGCAGACACAGTATTCTGTTTGTTTTTCCATACAGATTTTTTCCAAACTCTTTCCTCTGCTAGGTCTTTATGCTCTTCAGCCTTTAACTATAGACAACTCTAATGTTGCATTGGGTACGTTTTCCAGTTCTGTGTTTCACTGAGTGGTTAATGTCTCTGAGAGCTTAGTTTTAAAGGAGTTTGCTACTACAGGGTGAAATTCTGAAAGAGCTAGGGGTGATGTTTTTGTTTCTTAATTTGATAGCCATCATCTGTGTTTTCTGGGAGCTCTGAATTAGAAATGAGAGTTCAGCCTGAACTGCTAAAAACACTAATTGCTGTGTTTATTTCCTCCCACAAGACCCCTAGGCTAACTAGGAGTTCAAGCTATGATTAAAATGTGGATATATAAAGACAAGATGATACAGATCTTGAAATGTGCAGCCAGTTTGGAAAATCCTATGTTGGAAAAACATTGCCCATAGCAATGTACCTTACAGAGCAACAAGAAAGTGAGGAACTAAGGGTACTTAATGGCACTAAAATTGAGCAAAATGGCTGTTCTATCCTTTGTGTGAAGATGGAATGAGGAATTTAATGGATTATTCTACATTGTGACAAAAGCTTTATGAAAATGTGTACTTTTGAAACCGAGGTATTTCAGCAGTGGGTTTATAGGCGGGTCTTTCTGAGACATGCTTTCACTGTTTTTCTAAAATACTTGATTGGCAGGAAACAATTTATTCTTAAGTCTGTTGCTGGAGTCCCATGGGATTCAAACTAATAATTTGATTGATTGTTTGATAAAAAGGTGGTAGTTTTGCTTACGTTACAGTGGTATTAAAAATGCAAAGCTGTCTGGACAATCTGCCTGTGCAGTGTTGGAACACCCAGCTCTTAATTGATTGGACTTTGCTGTCCAGCACAGATACCATCTGCATTCATCCCTTAGACAAGTCATTTTCTGCAGGGGAGAAAAAATATCTGTTTATTGGTTTTTTGAGTTTACATTTGTTGTGTGGCTTGTGGCATATAACTAACCCCGGTGCTGGAACAAAGCAGTAGAGGGCTGTGTGTGATCAGTGTAGGGCCCAGAAGTGTTCTAACGGTATAATGAACTACTTCACATGGCTTTGTACTTGAGCTAACAGGTTCTCCAGGGACACTTTATGAAGCTCAAGAGAGAGAGTCTTACATTTTAGCCTTTCCCTCTGTGGGTGTGATTGTCTAGTTCTAGATGAACAGCCTCGGTGTGTTGTGCCGTGCTTCATCGATTTAGCTCCTAACCAGGAACGGATCTTTGCACTGTACTCTGTGTTGTGTTCCTGAACGTCATTCATGCTTTTATTTGCTAAGAAATGTCTGAGCGTTTGTTTGTGTGCTTTACTGTGAGCTTGACCCCGCAGCACGTCAGGCTGTACCCCTGCATAGTGCCCTCCTATAGCATGGTGCTTGTTTCAGGGTAGTAATTAAAATGAATGAAAGGGGAGTGATGTTAAGTAGTGGCTTGCTCCTTTGTAGGTGAGAGAATCCAAAGAAATACTACATCTACTCTCAAGATAATACCCTTTCTGCAGTCATGCTTAACACCGGGTTGTTTGTATGTCAGAGTTTTGCTGATAGGCTGATAAAGCTCAATGTTGTGTTTTGTATGTTTTGACAAGAAAACTGATAAGCCAGTGTGGAGATAACTGGATTTGGGGTAGAACTGCATGTTTCTGCTACTGCTTCCTAAAGAGATTTTAACATGATGCAAGTAGTGAATTAATTTAACTAAATGCCTTTTTGCAAGACAAGGGGGAAGAGTCTTCAGTGTAATGAAAGAAAAAAAAAAAAAAAGCATCAGTCTTTAAGTTCAGTCTCTTCACTGTAATGCTGAGGCAGAAAAGTACACAGGGTTGGTATCCCAGGACCAGTTTATAAAGAGCTGTGTAGGTAAGTGGTGACGGGCCTTTGCCCAGAAAGAACGTAGTTTCTGTTCTTGCAAAGTTTTTCTGATGCCTACCGTGATTACTGGCAGGTTGCAGTAAAGCTATTAAAGAGTACAAATGAGTGTTCTAAAAAACCTGCATGTGAACCTTCCTGTTTTAAAAACATTTAAATTGTATACCTATCCATTATACACACGTAACGTGCCTGTATGCTTGGAGCTTTTCAGCTATTCCTGAAGGAATATGTAGCGTTTTAGGGAGCTTCTAAATAAAGGGCAGACGCGTATAGGGAAGGGGAGGTTCTTTTTCCTTTACCTAATTTTGGAGTCTCACTCTGTGCTGGCAGCCGTATGTTGTCAGTGCAGAGTATCAGAAGAGCTGGCAGGTAGAGGTGAGAGTAGTGGCAGAAGGGTCGTGTGCAGAGTGAGGTGGTGTACATCTGTATGTGTACCTATGTACCTTAATGCATCCATACAGGAAAATACACTTTGGAGAGGAGTTTCTTACCAAGTACTGTAACACATGTATGACACCCAGTTCCTATTTAGTTCCTTTAAATTAGATTCTAGGCAACTTGCTTCAAGTAACAGTTTTATACAGCTAATTTCCAAGCATAAAACTCTTGCTATGGGGGAAATAGTTTTTAATAATGCATTTAAGAATTCGTTATGTTAATACAGGTACAGTGAAAGAGTCTGGTGAGAAACATAAGGGATCTGTTGAAATTCCTAACCTGTCAGAAGAAAATGAGGTAGATGATACAGAGGTAGGTGTGAAATACTGATATGGCTATATAGGTTCAGAATTCTTAAATAAAGCATTAATCAGTGTATAGGCATCCTATTTTGATTTACTCTGTGATTAAGTGGGATAATTGATAATTACACTTGGATAGTTTATTTCATGTTTTAGTTTTTCTGTACTTGGAATAATGACTTATCTCTGTTCTCAAATTTACCTACTAGGAATGTGCACAATTCTCTTTGCTAATTATTGTTTGTGATGATATATTAACTCCAAATTTGAGAAGAACTCTGCTTGTTGTAGTCTTAAAAAAAACCAAAAAAAACCCCCTCCAAACTATCCCCCTGCCAAAACCTAAGAACTTAAGGAATCTCCTTGTTGGTTGTACAGCAGCTGCTACTGTGGCTTCCCACAGGTTCCTCAGCTCTGGTAGGCAACAATGTTTGTACTTGATGAGCTTGACTAAGCTACTGTGGAGCTATTACCTTTATTTAAGTCAAAACACAAGAGGACTTATTTTTAGCAAAAGGTAGGATAAACTGAGAAGATAATGAACTTGAAATTGCAGCTGTCCTCTGAACGTAGTAAATAAAGCTAAAATACTTTCAGAAGTATTGCCAGAACTCACAAGGCTCATGTTTAGATGCCTCTTAGATATTGTAATTTTTCTGTTTCTAGATAAACATTAGCAAAAAGAAAGGGGAAGGTGATGTTCTGAAGGACCTTATGAGAACTGAAGGAACCACGAAAGTCAGAGAGGCCCTGAGAGATTATCTGAAAGCACTTAAAACAGGTAAACGAAACCAGTACGTTAGGCATGTTTTTATGCAGTCTGTCTTCTGGAATAGATTGGTAATACCTTGACAAGTCCTCGGGTTTGTATTGGTTTTATTTTTAATTGTTGCTGTCTGAGATGAAATGTTAGTCTTAACAGTCAAAATCTTTACTGCTATCAAACCTGGCGCAACCAGAGTTTCTGTAGCGACCCAGGCAGTGTGTTACATGTACTTACTGCAGGAACTGCTGTGAGACCTGCAGGCCCACTGGCTGGCAAAGCAACGCCAAGCCCTGTTTGTTGTTTCTCTGCTGTGTTGTTCAGAAGTTTGTGGGATGGGGCCTTCCTTAATGGGCAGATGTGAACTAATTTTGGGTCAGGTTGACTTTGAAAAGCCTGTGTTTTCAAGGGAAATTGCTGTTTGGCTCTGTTGCTAATAAAAACATAGCAGTAAGGTGGGGAAACTGCATAGGAATTATGTGCGCCCATTCTCCAGTTTTGGCCAGCAGTCTTCATTGCATATATCTAAATGTCAGGGTGGTTGTGCAGCTCAGTTTCATACTGAAAAGTGCTTCTCTTTATTACAGAGTTTACCTCGGGAATGATTCTGCCAACAAAAGCTCCTGTTGGTCAGGAGCCGGCTGCTGAGCGAAGACTAAATGGAAACACCATGCAAGTATGTGGGCTCAAAGTGTTGTATAAGTTTAATTTTACCATATAGTCCCTGCAGACTTTCCTGTGGTAATGCTGCATTATTGCTGTGATGACCTGCAGATGTGACAGCCCTTGGGGCGGAACTGCCACCTCCTTGCTGGGATCAGAGGTCTGCCAGGCACGGAAGGGGGTCAGCGGTGTTCATGTCCCCTGAATGCTCTGTTCTGCAGCTTCAACAAGGGGAGGCAGGAATTCACCTGCATGGGTCACTTCCCCCAGGCTGCAAGTGAGCTTCAGGAGTCTTTGAAGCGAATCACATGCTCCATAGTTTTTTCACTCAGTTTAGTGAATCCGGATGAATACTGCTAAATAAATGTGCAATTAACATATATTCACAACACAGCATGTTTAAGAGTGCGCTGGTAATAACAGTCCTGCCATTCCAGAACTTTGAAGTGTTTGATCTTGCACCCATTGACATAAGTGTTTTTTGCTTTGCAGGATTCCATGTCACCACAGTCTTTAGGTAGAGTTGGTGTAAAAATTCCAACAGTGAAGATACTGATGAGAGAAATCTTCAACTCTCCAGCAGATGAACTTTATAGCATCTTCACAACTAAGGAAGTAAGTGATCCTTTCAGTAGGCAGTCTAACTTCACGTGGATGCTGTTACATCTGAATACTTGTGTAAGTCATAAATGTGTCACGTTTGTAGCATTGAGGACAGACAATACTCCTGGAGTATGTTAAATGGAGAGACATGATCGTCCAGCAGCTGGAGGCTTCATGAGCTGCCCTTTCCTTGTAACTTCACTAAGTGTTTGTAATTCTGGTTGTCATTGGTTGCTTTTTAAGTTTTGCTGAATAGCTTCACCTTTAAGCCACTGAGGAATTTCAGAGGTGAAAGTGCAAAAGGAGTTGACAGCTGCTGAAGCAGTGTGTGGGTTTGGTGTCCTACTGAGGAACAAGGTGAGGCAGGTGACCTCGTTGGTCATGTTCTTGAGATAGCTATCAGAAAGCCCAAGAAGCTGCAGTAGGCTCATTCCACTTTTACCTTCTTAATGAGAGCTTATTAGGGTGTCTTGGACCTTTTTTTTTTTTTTTCCAGCTGTTACCTTGATAGGAAGAAAAGCCAACTAAACAAAATCAAGTTGTTTTATGTAGCTTGTGTGCAGCTCAGCCATGCTCTCCTTTGCTTGTTAGAAAAACCTTGGCTTTTTTACGTAGGTACTTGTCATCCTTAGCTCAGAGGTTGGATTAACTATCAGATGCAATGATAGTGTAGCTTATAAAGTATGAAATAGAAAATGACTGTTTTGGGGTTTGTGTCCTTTGAAAGGGTATGGGCTAGTATCGGAGAACTTTAAATTGCAATCCTAGTGCTACCAGTGGGAAATAACTATGGTGCTCAGCAGCTCTTTTGCACCTTCCTAGAGCTGCTGCTGTGTCTCCCTCCTTCCCAAACCTAGCAGGTGCTCTGTGTGTGTGTGTGTATGGATGCACAGTGTGCCTCATCTGTGCCCTTTGCAGGCAGCCAGAGTCTTTACTGGCCTGTGTTTACCCCTACTGGTTTCTCAGCATTTCAGTTCTCATTCTGTCACCTTATGGATCCCTGCTACTACCACAGACATCCCCCGAGTGCTGGATAAAAGGAAAGAGACTTTTCTGTAGATGTTAAGCTCAGTTAATCATAATACGGTGCATTACATTTCAGTACAGATTGGCAGTTAACTGACATGTGCTGTATTCTTTGACCAGTTGGTACAGAAGTTTTCTAAATGTCCTGCTGTGATTGAAGCTGACAAAGGAGGCAAACTTCAGATGTTTGATGGCTCTGTCAGCGGTGAATATGCAGAACTGGTAAAAAGCTGCAACTTTTCCCTTGAAAAATGGGGGGTAGTGGGGTATATGGGGGTGTTTGTTAGCTGTTTCTCTAATGCATATCTAGTTTCTTTACTTCAAAGCCAAAAGATTGCTATTATGTTGTTTTTTTTTTTTTTTAATTTTTTTTTCTTCCCCATCAAAAGAGTGGGCACTGACAACACCTAAAGACCTGCACCAGGGGAGAAAACTCAGCACCATCCTTTTTACTAGGAGGGAGAAAGCAGGTTTGAGGTTTATCTCCCAAATCTGTATCAATTCTTGTAACTAGAGAAACAATCTCTGTTCTATGCAGCACAAATGTTACACTCTCCCTGGCTGAATGCTTTTGCAAGCAGAAGGGAAAAATTAGTAATTAGAGCTCAGTTCCATTTTTGAAACCTGAAAAACCATTTTCACAGCTGCTGAGCTTAGACTTGGTATCTTACATCCACCCAGATGACAGGCAGCAAGTATCACAACTGGACAGCTCTTCAAAAAAGCAAAAAATATTGGGAAACTGGAATCTCAGTTCAACCTAGTAATATGTGGTGTGACTCTAGAAGGAGCTCAGTCTGGAAAGAGAGAGGCTGCAGAACTGTGACACCTGAGGCTGGCTTCAGTTGTAACAACCCAGTACTGATGCTGAGGGAAATCAGTTACATTCATCAACCTTTGCAGGTAGAGAAGGAACTATTTAGATGAAACAGTCAAAATATGAACTGAATGGCTTAGTGAAAAAAAATGAGCCTGATTTAGCCCCAGCTTGAGGTGACTTAATGCATGTGCTGAAGCAGTACCTGCCCAAGTTGGTTACTTCACAGCAAATCGTGGGCCAGCCCTGTTGTGCTTACAGATTTCAGAGGTGAAAATGTGGCTCTTGCAGACCTTGAAACTGGCACCAGTAAGAAAACCACTGTTTGATGTTGAGTAACTAATCAGCCTGACCTTTTCCCACAGAGAAAACAAAGCAGTGGTATAGAGCAAGCCAAATGCTTGATAAAAACATTTATTGAAAAAACCAACAGCAGTCATTGTGTTGTTTACATGCATGTGTCTACTATTGTGTATGATAATGCTCCCCTCCTTATTTTTCAGGGGAGCACTATCACTGAGTAGTTGTAAAGTGAATTATCTCAGGCACTAACAGGGACAACCTTCTCATCTTCTGACAGGTCCCAAGCCAAAGAATTGTCCTGAAGTGGAGGTGTAGGAGCTGGCCTGATGGTGAGTTTTTTGGGGGGCCTCGAATGGAGGCTGTATATTGCTGGGAGAAGGAACAGAGATGACAAGTTGGCAGCTTTGCTGGCTGGAAGCTCACTCCTCTCTGCTCTTCGGAGAAGGGGCTGGTGGCCGTAGCAGTTGTCGTCTGTGAAAAGAGGCTTTGCTCAGACACAAGCAAAAGCAGATATGGAATTATCAACAACAAATGTAATCCTTTAAAATACACTTTTTGAAATGTCTTATTTTTTTCCTTTAGAACATTATGCAACGGTTGCCTTGACTTTCAAGGACGTGGCTGCTCAAACAGAACTGGAGTTGGAGTGCAAAGGCGTGCCTGTCTCCAACGAAGAGAGTACAAGGCAATGTTGGAAGCAGCGGTATTTTGAAGAAATACATCTATTACTGCAGCAATCCAAAGATGACATGGAATGAGAACAGCACTGTACTTTTGTTGGGGCATTACTTTTTATACTTTGTTAACATTTGTTTTTTTACAGAAAGTAATTTATTTGTGGGAAGAATAAAGACCCACTTCTATGATATTGTATATAATTTAAGCATTATTTATTGATTTCTAGTGAATGAGGTGGTGAGTCAGACAGACTGGGTATATAAACAGCTTTACCTGGGGAAATGGAGCTGTGTTCTGCTGGCCTCCAACTGCAGAGAGCATTAATGATTTGGCTGCAGGAAGTGCTGTAGGTAAGCTACAGGAATCAAGAGGAAGCATTTGCAGTTTGTTATTAGTCAGTGTATCAAGTGGTGAATTAAATCCCTCCCAGAGATGGGGTTCCCATCAGAGGTGAACTGAAAGGGCTGATAAAACTGCTGATGCATTAGATCTGTCAATAAATGGGGTGGATATAGTTTACAGTCTCTTCAAATACTTCTGAAGATGGCTTTAACTGCAGACTGAATTTGTGTCTAGCTCTGTGGATGGTTTTACAGAAATACCATCTCACTGCAGTTGCTACAACAGTTACTACTATTACTTCTGCATGCACTCTACCCCCTTACTGACCTCAGTGTGAAAGAAACAAACAGTAATAATGCTTCCCCTTTTGCAGTTCTGTAAACCTTCTGCTGAAATGATTTATGGCCCTCTGCTATGCTGTAGCTCAACTGAACATCTGAGCAACTCTTTTTGTTAGGAGTAAGAAACTGTTACTCCTAATTAAACCATATTGAGGTTAGCAAGGATAACTTAATTCTTAAATGCTTTTAAAAAGTGTATGAATTAAATAATGCAATTTGAAACAAATTGACCAAAAAGAGGCAAACGTGGTTGGCTCAATAAAATATGTGACTCTACATGCAGTTATTTTCTCCATGAACAGATACTGCCAAACTAAACGAGTCTGTATAGCAGTTAAGTCCAATATATTTTATTTTTACGGGATACCAGCATGCAGCAACCTTACCACACATAAGCTTATACCATCCTGAAGATAAAGAGGTGCTGATCTTTTCTGCAGGCAAGGTTTTTCCCTGAGAAGTTTGCAGTTACCCCCTTTGAACTTAGGTGAGGTTTGTTGTGGTAACAAGAACAAACTGTAATGGCTGGTTACTGGGTGTTGCCTTGCAGGTGTTAAGAAATGGCCAGAGAACAGCCTCATGAGAAACAGCATGTTTTATGATATCTTTCTTTTTCTAAATGCTCAGAATTTAGTTACCTGTTTGAATAAATATTCAGGGACAAGAAGCCAAACATTCTGAATATAAAAATGATTTAGAGCAGCGGTTTATAAAGGGGCAACCTTAAATACAAACATAAAATCTAGGTTTAAAGAGGCAATGAGGCCAGGTGGTTTCGTGTGTAACAATCCAAGAGATTTTGTGACAGTTTGGTATCTGAGAGCAGGCTGTTACATCTCATCACAAGCTTCTTCAAACGGTTTCTCCTAGAGCCCTGGTACTTCTCCAGGAAGTGGGGCTCACCCCCTGCCCCCAACTAAAAACCCCATCCACCATTTTGCTAGTTGGGATTTTGTTGTCTCCTCCTGTGAGCAGGAGCATTCAGCTGGACCACCTGTCACTCACCAGTGTTAAAAGAAGCAACTGATTTGTGCTCCCAGAGTCAGGGGTAGCCAGAACCCCTGAAAACTCCACAGCTGCTGTGGGGAGACTCAAGCCTGTGCGAGGACCAACAGCCCCTGCCAGCCCCTTATTTCCTTTATAACGCAAGGGTAGGGAACTGAAGAGGACACACTATCCTCTTCCCTTGCATCTGCACAGCTCTAATTCCTGTAACATGCAGAATCTTGCTGAAGTTAAAAGCATAAAGTACCCACCTTATGGTTCTGCTTCCAGGTCAGCCTCATGAATGAGATGGGCCAGTGGCTTTGGCACCTGCAAACAGCCCCTGACCAACTGTCCTTGTAGGCAAAAAATGGACTTTTTTTGGCTTTGCTTCACCAGCAGTCCTCTGCTCTTCCCAGCGTCCCTGTACATGCTGGCATTTAGCTACCATGAGTGCTGTATGGCCTACCTCAAAGCTGTATTTCTGCACACAGTTATTTGAGAATTGAGAAAAACAGGAGAGAAAATTTTACTTGTAGCCTTCAGGAGGATTTCTAGTGCTACCAGCCAACCCCAGTGTAACAGGGGTAATCATCACCTTAGCAAGACAAAACAGCTGAAATCTCTCTCAAACTCTCCAAGAGTTTAATAAAAACGAAGAATCTTCAACTACTTGTTATCCTCAGCCCTTGAGCTGGATGGAGCAGAGATGAGAATTAGTTACTTAGGAACAGCATGATGAGAATGTCATGATAATATACATAATGAAACTGTAGTATCATAGATGTAGTTTGTTTTTTAAATAAGTCCATGTGAAAAGTTCTTTATCCTGTAACCTCCCCAATATAACAGAAAACAGCAGGAGGAGTTTGTGGGGAATATGCTCAAGTGTATCAGAATTCACATGTTTTAAGGAGACTAAAGAGCACAGAAGACATTCCAGGGAGTGTGAGCAGTAGGAAGGAAACCAGAAACTGAAATTTTGGTTTGTGATGTAGCACTTTACATCTTGGTCTCTGAGAAAACCAAAAGGAAAAATAATTAAATGTGAAAGACAAGATTTGTAAAACTACAGCCAAAGTCAGCACAGAGGATGGTCTAAACAGTGAAAGCCTGGGAGGGAGAGGGGGGCTGTCAGGGACCATGGGCAGTGAGGGCAGGGGAAGGAGAAAATACTGTAAAAAGTGGGGGGAGTGACTGCTGGGGAGAAATACATAACCATTAAATGAGGAAATAAAAGCTGTTAAGGGAGAGGAAGCCAGTGCAAAGGTGGGGTTTTCAAAGACAGATTTTAAAAAAGTAATTCTTGGAGACAAACACAAATCAGAAAACTGATTTAAGTAAAGGGGATACTGTGGAAGAAATCATGACTTACAGAATGTGTAAAATGAAGGAGACAGGAAGATAAACAGGCACAAACCAAGGGTATGGAAGAGGAGACAAGGTTGTGCAGGTACTGCTTATGTTTGTTACAAAAAACTAGTATTTGGAACAAGTTCCTAGTAAAAACTGCAGGAATACTGAAGGAGGAAAGTGTAAGGGAAAAGCAGTAATAATAATCAGTTCTGGTAATCATGACAATTTGTGAGCAAAATAATAGAAAACCTAGTATTGTCAGTTTAGAAAAACAGGATACTCATTAAATTATGGCTAACCAATGTGGTTTTGAAGAGGTCGCAAAGGGAAGTGTTGGCTGAACTGGCTCGTGTACAGTGTGGGTCTGAGCGTGTGAAGGTGCTTGGCCTGGGGAGCCACCAAACCCAACAAAAAGCCTTGCAGAAATCTAACAAGGAACTGCAGCTTCCACTTGTCCTGGTCAGTAGAAAATTGTTACAAATGGACTTCTATTGGGATGCTAAATGGACAATTACCTACTGGTGAGAAAAGAATTAACAATAAACTACATGATTACCACTACTGCAAATCACACATAGGGGTCTGTGGGGGAACACATCCTAAAACTTCCAGAGTTGCCCACCGAAGGGAGAACATCCATCTGGGAACACAGCAAAGGGAGAGGGGTGTATTACTTCTCTGAGCCATGAAATAATCATTAAATACCATTTATACTTGGTATACTTCAAAAAGGGGGTTCAAAATAGGAAAAAACAGTGCAAAAGACAAAACCCCACCTTCAGTAACAGACTCAGGGTGTGAGCTCATCCTGTAAGAGAAGCTAAAGCCAATACGGGTAACATACCAAAAACCAGATGCACATTTTTAATATGAGTAATTAATTGAGACTGCTCACCAAAGGGTTATGACAGCTGCTTCAGCTCTTGAAGGTTTTCAGGGTGACAGGAGCATCTTCCTAGAAGTATATGAACCAACCACAACTTTGTAGCTTGGTAGAAGCCTTGATAGAAGAATTCTGATCTTCATGATGTAGAAGTTTTGACCAGAAGCTGAAGTTACAATCTACGGTGAAGTTGATCCTTTTAGAAAGGCAGAAAGGAAAATAAAATTATTCTGAAGAGAGTGAAAACATCATTATTTCATGTCTGAATAATGAGACCAACTTAAGCACTCACCCGCATCAATAAAGTGTCTGTCAGTGCAGGAATAGAAGTGCTAATAAAGGGGGATAAAGTATAAACTTTAAAGACAGAAATTATTAATTACAGAAGGCTAAAAAAAAGTGAGAGTAAATTCAAAGAGAGGAGTCACAAAAGCATCACATAATAAAATTGTGGAGAAGCAAATGATGCTAAACTACATTAAATGGTAGACAGAATGAAGGCATTTGGAAGAAAAAGAGGCCAAGATCGATGGGTTATGAAGACAATAGAAAAACAAATGAGCTAAGCAACTGGAAGATGAAGCTGAAAATGGAGTTTAATCATATAATAAAACCAGTATCATTGACAGTCTGAAAGATCACACAGGAAACAGACATTGCTCAGAAATAACAGGAGGAGATGTGACAGGGAAAGGTGACAAGAGTCATTCCAGCAGTTCCAGGGTGCAGAAGTTGTGAATAAAGCGAGGGAGTGCGGGCCCAGGGGCAGCACAGGTACAGGGGAGGAGGCAAAAAGTCTGCGAGTGGTGCGGGAGAACAGTGTGACCGACACGGGATAAAGTCGGGGAAATGAAATGGAAAGTTCCATTGGCTTTTGCCGCCACTTCATGTCCTGACATCGCGGGGGAAAACGAGTAAACAACCACTGACCCCTCTCAACTGCGTGACTGAACGTTCATGCAAAATAAACCGGAAAAGGACCAAGATTTACATCAATTATATACATTTGATCATAATTTCTCTCTGCAGCTGTTTCGTTTTTGAAGTTGACTTTGATGAGAAATCCAAAGACTGAAGCAACATGTTATAAACAAATGAAAAGTCATCACAATCAGTTTAATGAAGTGCACAGAATAGCAATTGATCATGTCAATAAAAATAAAACAATTAATTTTACATCAAGTGTGCTTTATTTCCTCCACAGGTATTCTGTTAAATAAAGCACCATATATATACTGCCAGGCCACAGCTAAAGAGGATTCTTTACAGAATCAAATTTCTTGTGGTTGTTTAGTATACAAGTAAACTTAATTTTGATAATAAGAACCACAGCGATCTGAGGCAATCTGCCTCTATTATAAGGTACAAAACTGGCACAGAGGACACCATATTATACACAGTAAAAATGCCATAAGTTTAAATTACATCATACAGGGCAAGGAGGCCCTGTTTTCCCAGACAGCCATATTAAATGAAAGCCACTACAGTGAACTCTTAATTACATAAAACATACCCATTATTTGATTGCCCTTTAAGAAAGTGTACGGTAGATGCAAAAGAAAAAAAAAAAAAAAAAAGGAAAGAAAAAAATCTGGAGTTCTGCCTGACCAAGAATTAAGCATATAAATCTATCTTGCCATTCAAGCAGAGAGCACTGGACAAACTGAAGCACAAAACAGAAATAAGCAAAACTTATACAAACAGCATTTGGGGGGAAGATAAAAAAAAAAAAAAAGAAAGACTTAAAAGCAGACATGCTCCATCTAATGTCAAGAAGCAGCTTGGTTTCCTTTTCCAGATATCCTTGTGACCACGTGAATCGTTGACTCAATGGTCCTACACAGGATGTCTAAAATGTCATGCTGCTGCATATGACTAAAAAGTCCTCTGGAATGGCCACAACTGATTGATAAACTAGTTTCAGGGTCCTGGGATGGTAAGGCTTGACCATCACAGCTTCTCAAATCTGGGAGGTCAGATAAAACTGCTGAAATCGATGTGGAAGGAAACTCCGAGTCCTCCTCGGCTCCAATGGAATCCTTGGAAGTCTGCAGGTCTTTAAATTCTTTGCATTCTTCAAATTTACCATTTCCTGACTGCTCTTCTGTGTGCTGTGACCGTGTCGCTAACATTATGTCTTCTGAAAATGAAGATGGAACCTCCATTCTGTATTCCTTGACAGAACTGTTCTCGGGGGAAGGAGGGTCTTGCTCAGTGCCTGGATCAATGATCGAAGAGTCCCGTGTCTCGTTATCTGAAGTGCTTGTTGGGGTCAATGCCTCACGGGGTTCAGTTTTTATATCACTGATGCAGCTGTCTACAGTGTGCTCCTCATCACTGCTGACCCGTCTTCTCTTCACAGGAGTGGCTCCTTCATCATCTGGAAGAAAAAGGAGAGCTCACTTAGGGGAAACACACTGTTTTCACTGTTTCAAGTAACAGGCCTTGCACGTTTGTATCCTTTGCCATATTAAACACAGCACTTTAATAAATACTTCTGTCCTTACAGAAAATTCATGTAATTGCCTAGAATTTTAGCTCTGTAATAAACCAGTATTTCTTGTGTAGGACTGGTGATCGGAGCCAAGACATGGCCTGCCCTGCAGTGGCAAGGAAACAACGCGTGACGTTCATTTTGTGGAAGTCTGTTAAACCTTATAGCTAGAGTGACACCATTAGAGAAGGCAAACCTTTAGTTTTTCTGTCTTTGGCTTCTTGCTCTTGTAACGAGTTCCTCTGTTGTTGACAAGCTCTACATTTGTTTAAAAGTTCTTGTAAAGTTGGAATCAGGGCTGAATTGAGCTGTTTGGGAGTGTGCACCGAAAGCAGCAAGGCGAGTGCTCGGAGATCCTAAAATAGAGGAGCAAACAAACTTCACTACCCTCATTTCAAACTCGTATTTGATTAATCCTATACCAAAAGAAATCCGTGCGATAAGCAGAGGCCTCAGCATGTTCTCAACATCCAAAAGATCAAATTCTAAATCCACTTATGCTACTGAAATCTCCGGCTCCCTACTGCTTTGCTGACCTTAATGCAGATCTGTCCTA